TAGACGGTGATGTTAGGGCCATAAGGCTAGATGTTGATGTTAGGGTCAAGAGGTTAGACGGTGATGTTAGTGCCAAGAGGTAAGACGGTGATGTTAGGGTCAAAAGGTTAGACGGTGATGTTAGGGTCAAAAGGTTAGACGGTGATGTTAGGGCCAAAAGGTTAGACGATGATGTTAGGGCCAAAAGGTTAGACNTTAGGGTTAAAAACCATATGTGGCTCTTTCCAATCTTGACCAATCAAATAACATCAAGGGTGTTAACCATTATAAAATAAAGCAGATTTATCCAACGACTTGGGAGAGAGAAAACCTATAGTAGTTGTTGGAAAATATATCTTCGGTATACCATCTGTATACTCTTTGCAATACATTACTTTCACTGTTTTAGTCAATTCAATTAAATGAATTATATGACATGCTTCGAATATACGAGGTATGAGCCAGCAGCGAGCTTCCTGACTCCGTTGAGTCTTGTTTCCCTGTATCATTTGTTTTAAAAGGATGGTGACTCATGAAGTAAATAACAAAACAAACACAACATGTAACATACTTGCGGTAATGACTCGGGTATCCTGGTGATGTTATGAAGTTTGGGTAGATGGCGGCAGTAAGTAGTTCATTCCCACACGTACCAGTCACGGTTGCTAAGGAAACAAACCATGAACATAAGTTATATAAATCATTCAGCAATGTGTGTTTTTCTTATAGGAGATAAACTGTTTAAGCAGCTTTACTATCGAAATGTTTCCACTTTGGTTTGAATATGGAATACGATGAAATGGCACGGTTTATTTTAAGTGTACGAAAAGGTCTGCGCCTTTTTAAACTATACACAAATTTAAAGATGTGTCTAGATGCAAAAGAATGCATATGTATTGAAAAGTAGATTGTAAGTAAGGCTTATTTTTATCTCTGGATAAAAAGCGAACTTGTTTTTCAAAATCGTATAACCTTGTCCAAGCTTAACCCTATACAATCCGCAATGCTACCTTATTTTACCATTATAACACTGCAATCTCTGCAGGCTTATGTGAACTTACGTAATTATGAAACAAAAAATTCCTATGATTTTTGTTTTTACATGATTTTGTCTTGTTTATAATCACTGGATAAAAATTGAACTGTCAACAAATTCGTATGTCAAACTCAAAATCGATAAGACGATAACATAATGAAAGTAAGGACTATTTTCCATGAAGACCCGTGCAAAAATGCAGGAGAGGTAAGACAAGGTATTCCGAAGGAGTAAACGTGTTTTGCTTATTAAAATTAAGCCATACTTACTTCAAAGCGAGAACCTGTCAAAACTCGAAAAACATCCCTTCATACTGCTATCAAGTAAGCAAATGAATAAATATATAAACGAAATGAAACCTTGTGTATATGAATGCCGTAATAGACCGGCGTTTTAATAACAACACTAATGTCGTGAAATGTGTTCCTGCTAAACTTATTTCACATCTTTGTACATGTAAAATAAATTAACATTATAATATATATAACAACATCAAAAGTAAAGTAAATAATTCTCTGGTTTTAAACACTGGTCAAGATATATATTTTTTCAATCACTCATACATGTAATATCTTCTAAAATAACTTTTTGTAAATCCATATTGTGCTGAAAATATACGTGCGTCATGAGTGAACTCTCTCAGTGTTTGTTGATGTGTATATAATCTTCAAAATCCACCACTATTTCAATCGTATTTATTACATTTTACTACTGAAATATCATGAATTCCCCAAATGATAAAAATACTATCTTCGATGCAGTGAAGATATACGAAATATGATATCTTTACATATGAAGATAGCACGCTTAATATTGTTCAATTAGAACGGTACATTCTATTCATTGCGTAGCGACGATAGAATAAGTGGTTGTGTGATTCCACCTTTGCAACATACATTATGGTATTAACATAAATACAAAATTCATTTAATTTTTGCTAGGAAAGCTTACCATTTAAAAGCAATAAACGGAAGAATTGCAGTGAGAAACCCATTCAAAATGGCTCTTTGTATTGTTGGCAAGCGTGACGTCATTAGAACCTGGCGTCAAAAAACACGCTACAAATTCCTGCGCTTTTATGATGTAGCAATATTTGCGTCGCTCGACGTGAACAAATGTAGTAAATAGAAAAATGAATGGTTTTCCAGTTATATACAATATGTATATTTCACTCGTATAAAACGAATATGTGATAACAATAAAAATAAAACAGCGGTGTAGCAAAATGCGTCTTCTGAGCACGACTCGAGTAGTAATAATATCTTTGACACGTTTCCTCAACTAGATGTTAACATTTTATATATTATTCAAAGAGGGGCTACGATTGACAGTTTAACCCAGAAGACAGTTAATATTTTATCAAAAGGTACATTGTCAAAAGAAATATTTATAGAAATCGTGGCAGATATACAAGATATTTTATGTAAATCATGTACTGTCGCTTTTCTCTATCAGAAGATGACACTATCACTAAATCGCTGACATTAAAACGTGCTTTTAAAAAATTCCATTCGCGTGCTTTGGGATAATTATTGAGGGACAATAGTGCAATATGTAAGGAAATTACGCGTGAATGAAACTCTGAACGACATTACCATTGACAAACATATTTGAAGAATAAATTCAAGTATGCCTCATGATTGTTGGACTGGCATGCAGTACTTAATTTTCATA